AACTGCCTTGAGTAACATGGAAATCCATTGACACTCCAAACTGAAAAGCCCAGGCATGGATCTTTAAACACACGTGATCCAGAGGCTCAAATGAAGTGTCCAAATCTGATCAATATATCAGATCTCCTTGGTTTTATTTTCAAACTTCACACGGTGATGAAAATATGTCTTTGAAAGAACTTCCGACCATAGAAGTCTATAAAATTACTCTGCTTGAAACAATTTGGGTCATATAGCTCTCCTCGAACCAATCAATGTAACAAAGCATTTCTTCTTCCAGCCTGGCATGTTTCCCAATGTGGGGACTGTTTTTTTTCCTTCCATTTCTTCTCACATACTGGATAGCTCTTTTCTGAGCTTGTCTCTTGTCAGAATTTGTCAAATGCAGCTAACAATAGTCAATGTGTGCTAATTAACTGTTTTCCAATCTCTTCCACTAAAGCTACAAGTTTATTTTATATATTATCCGCCTTGTTAGTTATTACGAGAACAATCTTCTCGCCAACCAAATCTTAATAGCTTAACACACCAAAAGAAGCTTATTCCTCACTCATGCCGTGTGTCCACTGTGGGTTGGGAAACAGACTCTGCTTGTCCTGGGGTCCCATGTTGAAGGAGCAATACAACCACCATTTTAAATGTTTGTAGGCACTGTGCAAAGGGAATAGGAACTGTAGCAAGTCTGACGCTAGCAATTAAATGCTTACTAACCTGAAAGTGTCATATGTCACTTCTCTCATAATTCCTTGTTCGGAACTATTCATTTGATCCTATCACCCACAAAAAGGGCCAGAAAATTCAACTCTTCCATGTACCTAGAAGTTTGGAGAACTGAAACTATTTGGCTAAAAGCACTAGTCATGGCCACATTGTCCCACAGGGCATCATAAAATTAATAAATTGCTAAAATTTCATGAACCAGACTGATCTTTTATCTTCTGTGTATTTCTGTATAGAACCTATGACCATGAATGAGGAGTGCTCTGATTTGGTAGCATGGCAAACCATCAGAAGTGCCTATTTATTTCAAATGCACGTATACATTTATATTTAGTTCAGCCCATAATTACACATTTGAGGTATGGTATTTGGGTTTTCAATTTAAAAAAATAAATGCTATTACAAGCAAACTTTTGAAAGTTAAAACACAAAATTCCTTTATGATGTTAATATGACCCTGATAACAGTGTGTGTTTAGGTCTCTTTGTCTGCTCTGGAGCCTATGTGATCACCAAAGGATCCCTGACTGCCTCTCGGACCATGTATGCCCAGTTGTTGAATAACGTGCTGCATCTCCCACTACAGTTTTTTGAAACTACCCCCATAGGCCAGATCATCAACCGCTTCACCAAGGTAAGAAATGATGTATCTTACTAAATAGCATTGCTAAAAGTGGTGAACCGTATTTAGTACCTTATAATCTCATTTGTACAATATATCATGTATTTAGTACAGATTTCATTGCTGAATATATTTCTAGACCTGTTATACATAATCGATGTATGACAGAGTCACATCTTACACATATAATTAAAAGAACTCTTAAAAATTACTTAAAGAATCCAAGAAACACATGAGCTTCGATGTCTACAATTCTTATATACATCGAGTTTGAGAACCACTGGTTTAAGCTAAGAGGGGAACGAAAATTTAAGTCAATATGGAGATATCTGGACTTTGAAAATATTCTGCCTTTAAGAATGCTTAAAAAATCACTTACGGCGAATGGGGGATAGGTGGAGAGTTGCAGAATGCCTCTGCTTACCTATAGGCGTTTCCCCAATGTGTTTACTATTAAGCACTTATAATTACACTATCCAGTAAAAATGCAATGCAAACCACAAGTGTAATTCTAAATTTTCTGGTACCCACAATAAAAAGGTAAAAAGAAATAGTCAAAATAATTAATTATGATAATATGTTTTATTTAATAAAGCATATCCAAAACATAACAAACTGTAGTATTGATAAAATTATTAATTAAATATCTCATATTTTTTGTACAAAGTCTTTGAAATCTGGTTTGTATTATATACTTATAGTACATTTCAATTTGCAGTAGCCACATTTCAAGTGCTCAATAGCCACATATTGCTAGTAGTTCCTGTATTAGACAGTGCAGGTCATAACTTTAAATATGTTAGTACATTTATATGTCTATGTAAAGAAAATGGTGTGCGTATAAGCCAGTGGACATTTCTTACTCTGACCCTACTGAGTAACAATCAATTTTTTTAAAGTAAAATTTCAGATGATTGGGTCTTGAGCAGATGGAAGTATGGGAAAGTAAATTCTAAAAACAGGTAGAAAATCGCATATGAATATGATACCATTACACTATGTGGTATATAAGATAGTCAGGAAAATCCGAAAGCACGTTAGAATTAATACAATTCCATCTCTACAATTTGTATCACTTTTATCTTGAAGTGAGTAGTTTATCCATTCAAGGTTTACTGCCTTTTTCTTCCTTGGGCTCTCTTAGGTCATACTTTGTACCCCAAACATAGTTTGATTAAGTTATATGCAATAAAGTGAGAACTAATGCATGGCAATAAAAATTATTAAGGACATAGTATTTAAAAACATTTCCCATAACTGAAGAATACAAATGCCTGTTTCAGCAACCATTTTAGTTTAGAGCAGAGAGACAGAGGGTTCCAAGAGAATATTTTGTGTTTCAAAGGGGAGGGTCTAAACAGGATGAAAGAAACAATAGAATATCTGATGAGTCTGAATATATTCAGAAGAGATTTGCTGGCTATTGAAGTATTTGGGAGTAAATTATTGCTAGTTACATAGAAAACTAAGCGTATGGAAAAATAGTGGCAAAAGCACTCTAGATTTAGTGAACTTCATGAATAATATGTGTTTGTAGTAATGTAAACACTGAATATTTGAGGGAAAAGAGGGTAACCTATTTTTGGAAAGGGAAGAGGGAAGTATAGGGGAGAGATGGAGGAAAATACTTGAAAATACTTAAGACTGAGAAATCAGTTAATAGTAGTAATGCGGTATTATTTAAAAATATAAAGAAACTGGCTAATGGAATTTAAGGTGGTGAGGGTCAACTATTTTTGTTTCATTTTGTTTTAAACTGTGATGCCT